TGCAAATTACGTTTTGGATAGGCAAATTAATATCTTGGTCCCACGAAATTGTCTTGGCGTCAGACAACATGAGTCCAGACCTGTCTGACGGGGGTGCAAATGTCCTTCCACCAGGATTTCTTCCCCAAGACATTCGCTCCATTTGCACATTACGGCACCCCCCACCTTCCCCACCCCAGCACATTTGTTTTAACGGGCTGAGACTTACTAGCAAAATAATAGTGGAGAAAATTACAAGTAATCAAACGTAGCATTTCTGAAACAACTTTTGTTGTACAAACCTACAACTCAAAACCAAACGTCTAATTTTACCACATTCTTACTTAGCCGTTCTCGCCATTATAAGATTAATCGTCCACCCTTGCACCCGAGAACAACCCCAAACATTGTAACCGATCAAGCTTGCTTCCATACAAACGCTACACGCTATCGCCGAGAGCCTTCGATGATGCTGATTAGTCGGTCGGATGGGGAGAACCTTTCCAATTGCGTCGGGAACTGCTACGCAGTACAGCTTAGTTTCCAAACAATCGCTACACGCAGTTGGCAAACTCAAGGTCGAGATTCCATTCCTTATCATGAGCAAGGCATATTGCTTCAGTCTACCTAGGTGTATGAATGGCCAGTCAGTCACTGTACCGTATTTCATTGCCAAATTTACAAAATATGTGCTCAGCCCACGTGCGCCCCCCACCCCCGCCCAGTCTCTCGTGTAACGCTTACAACATTATATATATACCTTATTTAGTGTGGGCCTACCACTTGCAACAGTGATTGCTATGGTGGAAAACAAGTTCTTTCTTCCGTAGCAGGTGCAATATACAATAAATATACATCTTCGATGCTGTAGTACATTTGAATGGTTAAATAGACAGACGTAGTGCAAAACTGAACTGGATTCTTAAACTTAATATCCACAAATCTGCTGCTAACAAAGGCTTGAGATATACATCATTATTCATTTAAAAAACAATTGGAACTGTATCTATCATATCAAAATGTCCTTGGTGGAAGTGTCAGACTTTGCTACCAATTTCCACCCGCTATTGATTTCCATCAACTGTTCTTAAACACAGAAGAATTTCTGGACATTATGTATCACTTGAAGATTTGCTTCTCTCCACAACAGTACATTATAGATCAATACTTAGCTCATCTCATCTACCATCGGGTGGATTTTGTATTCCCATGTTGTTCTGAAACTTAGGAGGATTTACATGATGGCCTTTGTTTGTTGCTGCATCAAAGTTGTGGAGTAAATTGCCTGAATGTGTTCGCTACCTTAAATCATATTTTTTTTCTCTCATATCCGTTTTTAATTTTGTTTGTATTTGCTTGTACTTGACGCTTGGTCTAGAGCGTGCATATGGAAGACGATTACCATTATAACAACTTAAATAAAAATACAAGATGTGGCTGATTTCTTAAAAATAACCACGCGAATATTCTATGTGAATAATGTTAATAAATAAATCATGGACCAATCTTTCAGTGCATAAAGCAAGTCTGAGTCTGACCATAGAATTCTAAGTTGGATGTTGCATGCAGTGTAAACACCACGCGTGACTAGACTGGCATTGCTGTCACTTCATGCATAATAATGTGTTTGTTTACATCAGTGCACTACAACCAGTAGTGGAGCCAGCAGGTGAATTTCCCTCCCCCCACTGGGCAGGCCTATACACCCCCTCACCTTCGTAATATTCCGGTCTAAAACCATAAATTGGGCCATACTAAGCCATAAAAACTCCCCCCACCCACTCCCCATGAATTTTTATTGGGCCCTGCTCGAGGCATACGTCGGCCTCTTGGTTTGGATCCCGCTGTCGGAAATGTCGGGCCCCTTGTTGGCAAAATTCTGGAGCCACCACTGCATAGAACCCAGGCTTAGCAATATTTACCTCCTTGATCCAATGAAAAATAGATGATCTAGAGAGTCATTCTTAATTAGGCAAAATAACTCTGTTCTACTGTAACTATAACAGTTTTTTCCAGAAGTAAGCAACTGATCTGAACCCTCAATGTCCATGGTGAATTCAACTGACTGCAGATGGCCATGAGGCCTAGCCTAGCAGATCAATAAACGTCAAAATAGTGTACTGTGAAACAGAATTCACAGTTCTCAAATAAAAACCAATGCAAAACAGACAGTAGAAGCAGAAACATTAAATTGAGGTAATAACAAATATAAATCAAGAGCACAAACCATTCTCCTGCTAGCACTTTGACACAACGCAAACTTGTCATCATATATATTGTCTTATTATATTAAAATTCCACATTATAACAATATTTTTTACCAAGATGACACTATCATGTACAGTAACAATGGTACTAGGAAATGGATAAACAAATTAATTGTTACAAAAAAAAATCTGAAAACTGCGGAATTAAGTTTTATGGAAACATTAATTTAAAGCTGGTCTTCAGTGATACAATCGACTGCGTGAGTGTGATGTTCTCGGGCTAAGCGCAGAAAATCCACCGCAATTTTAATTGCGAATAGTATGTTTCATAAATGTTTATTCATTCTATTATCATACATTCACGTTGTGGTTATTCAGTTGTAAACTAATAAATCCTGCTGAAACCGATGTATAGAAGTACAAATCCGTTTTAGTTTAGTTCATGATTGCGATCAATGGCATGTGGCGCTAATAAGAAGGTAAGGTCGGCACAAAAATAGAGGAGGTAGCAGATAGCATCCATGATTAATGTATGTATGTCTATAAGACTAACATACTGTACCCTCCTCATTTTCGGTCGCATCCAATATTAGCAGAAACAACGCCAGCAGTGGTGCCAGTGGGTGGGTGTATTTTCTCAACATATAATAGATTCTAAAATCGATTAAATAAGTCTTTGAAACACCTAAATTTGTCATATTTTTTGTGTAAAGATTTTAGACATAAAACCCTATTTTTAATCATATTTTGCCCTTTTATTTCAAGTTATACTTTGTTTATTGTGAGTAAATTTACAAATATACATCCACACTTGGAACATGAAACATATATTTCATTCACAAAATTATGTCTTCCTATAATGACAGGTTTAGTAAAAATAGGTTCCATATGTAAAAAGAAATATGGGAAAACCTATAAACAGCAAGCGCAATAATCCAATGAATAAAAAATGTATCAGGCGTGATTCGAACTTGCGACGACCTCTCGCTAAATAGACCACAGATTCCTATTGGTATTGTCACGGATGCTATCCACCAGAATCACTTCAACGCACAACTGATATACGCCCTCACATCTGTATCTGTGGTAAGGCCGGAGAGAACTCTGGGTAGTCAGGAAAGAAATAGGAAAATGGAAGAACAGGCCAGATATGAAAAAGGAAAAGAAAAATAGGAAAGGCAATAAGGACAAGAAAGGAAACAAATTTAAAAAATATATGATTTTAATTAGATGAAAGGAACTTAAAAGCTGTGTTTTATAAAAATAAATTAGAAATTAAAATAAATTAATGTAATACAGTTACTATTTATTTATATATAGGCCTAAGGTAAATCATTAGAATAAGTTATTACCTTAATTTATTTGCACTTCCGACTAAAGAGCATAGAGGGATTTTACATTATACGCTTTATAAATGCACAATTTTGACCCTTAACCATAGGGATTTCTTTTTCTTCGTTTTTCGTGTACTTTCACATAGGATTCTAATCCATAACATAACATGCACCCTTAATTCCAAGTCGTTACTCTATTCATGCTACATTCATCCAATAGAAAGCTCAATATTTAAAAAAAAAAGTAGGCCTATATTTGGTCAGTAACATTGCACCATGAAACAATATTGGGAACATATTTCATTGACATTTCTGCTGATTTCATGTTATAAATGAATTGTATTTGCTTTGCAAATTATTGCTATAAAGTTCTCAGAATTCTACTGTAAACTAATTATGTCAACATGCCAAAACCCCTATTAACAGGACAATTTTTCTGTTTATGGTTAGTGGGACACCCTTATTAAGGAGACACTTTTTTAGTCCCGAATGTGTCCCCTTAATAGGGGTTCTACTGTATACAAGTATCTCATTCGAGATCCAGCAAGCCAAAAATAATTCACAAAAGAGGGCGTATCTTATAGATCTCAGGCAGTCTGTAGTTATATGCGATGTTAATGCTATATCAAAATCGTGACATCAGATGCGTTAAAAGAATGAAAAGAACTCTGGCGCTTGATATACCGTATATACTGTCTCTTTCTTTGGAGGGTGACAGACATTGAATCACGAGAAATGAAAAACAACCAAAATAAAAACCTCAAGAAACGAGTAAAATCTGTAATTTGTTTAGTTAACAGGCACACCGGGGTTTATTTAAAATTTGTTCATGATCTGAATCACTAACTAGTGAGACCAACATACTCAATAAAACATCGTGCACAAGATCTGTAATCCTTGGAGACTGCAGGCAATCAATTAATTTTGTGCATACTATGTTTGTTCTAGTAGTAGTAGTAAACGCGACTGATATTATTATAAGTAGCCTATAGACAAGTCTATATTCGATAATGATTTTGCCTCTAGCCGCTCATACTAGAGATACACTATAGCGTACAGTATCTCTGGTCACTAATGAGACTGATTACTCAGCTAAAACGTGCATCTTACCCGTCTGTAACAAATGGACGGTATGGTATGCATATAACATCAAAATAATAATGCATAGCACAATCTGGACAGTATACGTTTTACGTAGTTCATTTTATAGGGTGATACATACTATTTTATTTCGTCAATATAATGCGTTTGGTCAGAGGATCGGGGACTGGACGATAGGTAGCCCTACCATTGCTTACTATAATATTGATAGAGATATATGCCTATATTAATAATATCAATATTTTGATATGATGGAAAGAACTAGAATACACAAATCGTGTATTACTACATTTGCACCAATTCGATGTTGTGTAATAGTCACATCATTAACTACCATTCATGCAATATAATATACAATATAAGAACACCTAGGCCCTACCTGCACCAAACGAATGTAGGCCCTCCTGTAAATATGTATCTCACTTATTTCACTGACAGCACATGTGTCCAGCTGATGAGCTTCATTACAGAGTCGTTTTCCGCTATGAAAACACGTATCTGTCGTGCGAAGACGTTGATCAAAAACCAACACGTTACTATGGTGATGTTTAACCTGACGTTTCAGTCAATACCAATGATAATAGAGCGTGGTAATGTACCCGTGCAGTTACTCTGTTAGCGTTTTCTATTACTCTAGTTTCACTTGACCGACACACAGATTTTGACTCGAGAGTGCAATCCAGTCGTTTGAAGCAAAGTAACGATATTGACTTTTACATTTACACGATTCGAACATCATAGCTCAGAATAAATCATCTATACCACTCCTTTCATCATCGTCTCGACTAGTATGGTCTATATAACCCCATATATGAGTGTGGCCTGTGTTTTAATAGATCGATGATGATGTGATTGTTGTGAATAGCGGTCATTATTATGTGATATAGCGTATACAATAATACCGGACTTGCGCATCATATAAAACGTCAATAGCAACATCAAAACAAAATATAAATAAATATACAGTGTCAGGGCGGTTATAATAGCTGTATAATATTTATTTCGATCATTCTTATCGAATTTACGAAGAAGAGGAACAGGGATTAATATTAGTCTCTGTTAAGTATTACGTCGCTGCTTTTTTGGGGGGGCGGGTTTAATTAATAAACAATGTTTCAAAAATTAAACGGGTTATTTTTTTCAAGTTAATTATCAGATGACAGTTATATTTATTAAATTATATTTATATTATTTATTTATGATTAATTATTTTATTGTTATTATGAATTATTATTATTATTATTATTTTTATTATTATTACAGTATTATTATTATTATTATTATTATTATTATTATTATTATTATTATTATTATTAAAATTAGTAGTTAAAAATTATATGCTTTGTGTAAGGATAACAATTAGTTTAAACTGAGTTGTATAAACCAGCTAAAGCAAGAAATAATTGAAATTAATAAACGCACATACAAAAAGTTGTCCAATTATTTGCCTCGCAAAATTGATAAGAAACCCTACGAAGCCCCAGTGCCCCAGGCTAGATGTTATGTTAATTATTTACGTCTTATAATATTATAATTATATATAAAGCATATACACAAGATTTAATCATTCAAAAGCTTTATTTATTTACTAAAATATAAAATAGCTGTTTACCTCAAAGACGGTGTTCTTCCACGATGTCGTGATATACAAAACCGTACAAAATGATTTGACATTAAGATATTGATTAGACAATATAAATATACAACGACAAGTTTTCTATATAAAACAAATAACATTTGAAAAAGGTATAACTTAATCCATCTAAAATTAACAAACCATGCACATCATTATTACAGTATCTAAATTTAGATACCAAATTCCCATGATACAGGTTCAAAATTAATGACACTATGTGTAAACGGGACCTTCTTTGTATAATCAGTGTAATTTTTAGGCTTACCTATATCTGCTGCAAGGTTAAGGCCACTGTTTAAAATAATTATTTATACATTAGCAATTTCTTTGGCATTAGTTGAAATTTTACCAGAATTCATCAGAAATTGCATAATTATGCTGATTACTGACTAGTCTTTTTATGTGGGTATAACATACCTTATGGAATCCTATATTTTTAAAACATTCTTTTTTAAATTTTCATTAATACAGTCTTTGATGAAATCTGCCTTTTGCAAATTAACTTATTATTTTCGACATTTACAGTATTGATTTCCATGAGTTTGGTCATTTAAAGTATCACATAATTCCTTTATCTCGCTTTCACATCATTTCAATAATGTCCTTAACATATATATATATATATGTAAATTGACAAAGTAAGACATAAATTATATTATAATGTAATATAATAGTATATATGGCGTATGTGTTTAATAAGAGTGTTCGGCTAGGCCTGTATGACCAAGAAAGAAATGTATTTAAAACGCACGGTTATTTTCTTCACTGATATGAAAGACGTTTAATCGCTTTACATACGATGATAGCTCGAGTGAGTCCAGCACAAAAGCTTCTATTAAACCAATATAAAGCCTTACATTAAGTAGCGCAGATTACCTCTACAGTATTGGGGCTTGTGCAAGAAATGGTGGTAAGGAAATTATGACAAGTACTTATGAGCTTAAAACCAGTAGCGCATGACAGGCATAATAAGTTGGAATATGAATATAAATACTGATACTGTGTACTCGAGAACAGATATTATAAGAAAAGCAGAGTACGGATAATGATCAATATCTTGATACCAGAATAAGTGGAAAGGAGAATAAGGAGATGATATGTATCGGGGGTTAAACGGATAATGAACCGTATGAAATGTACTAAATCTTATCAGTTACTAAGATCTTTAAACTATTTGTTCTGAAAAATATGAGATTTTCAAATATATTTAAATTGCTCACAAATAAAGACATATAAAAACATTACCATAAAATAATAATAAGCTAAATGATAATTAGGATGGTGATAATAATCATGGTGATGGTGATAATAATGATGATGATGATAATAATAATAATAATAATAATGATGATGATGATGATGATAATAATAATAATAATAATAATAATAATAATAATAATAATAATAATAATAATAATAATAATAATAATAATAACATATTTGAACCTACAGAATAAATATTGGCGATACCACTGATCTAATAATGCATTATGCTTGTGAGTTTGCTATTACCGTCTGTCCTTCATATAAATTTTTAAGGCTGTTCCATTAATAAAAAATTAGAATCGTGTTAATAACAAACTGCATCTAATACGATCAACTATTTTAAGTGCCACGTTCAATTATTTCGCTATTGAAAGTCATACAAAAGATAGACCTTCAAAAATATAATTTACATATTAGATAAATTAATATCTCTTAAACATAATTTTATAAATTAGTGAGGATATAACAAGATTAATTTCATCTTAGCCCAGTTTCCGCATTACTACAGAGTAGGGACTTAGGTGTATGGGACGAAAAAGGAGGAGGGCCTGGATACAGGCCTGAGCATAATAATAATAATAATAATAATAATAATAATAATAATAATAATATCAGTGAAAGCAGCGATTAAGTTCTGTAATATAATGTTTCAATCGTTATTTCTACACAGTGGCGGCGCCAGAGTCTAAAATCTAGGGGGGCGGTGGCAAGTGAGGGGCAAGGTAAAATTTTAGGGGGAAAATATACTGCGGTGGCCCGAGGTGGGCGTGGTCGGGCGTCGTTCAAAATGTATCGAAAGTGGTCCAGAAGCACTAAAAATATGACAACGTAGGGGTTTCAGAGGCTTATTTAATCGATTTTATAGGTAGATAGTCTACTAATATGGAGAAATAGGCCTATCATTTTTTCTCCCCGATGGTTTTCTTCTTTTTTGGGGGGAAAACTGGGGGAAAGAAAATTTTCTGGGGCAAAATCCCGTTCCCCCGTAGCGCCGCCACTGTTTCTACATGCAACCAACTGCAATCCATCTGTTAACTAATTAAATAAATTTAAAAGCCATGTTCGAACTGGATTAAATTAATTTGAAGAATGGTAAACCTACCTTTGACCTGGTTATAATCTCCTGCGCAATGATAACTGTTTTAAACTTGCCGCAGGTTTTAGGTAAATTTTTTATATAGCATAGGCCTATTCATAGGAGGTGACCATTCCAGCGTATCCTAGAAAGTCGGCTAATTCAGAAGCCCTCTTATAGTTAAATGGAATAACGTGATGCTTTATAAGTCTCTTTAAAAGTCTTATGGAGTGGAGATGTGTGTATTAGTTTATTGAGAAAAAAATACTGTGCTGTCACATGATCTGAACCCAGGACACTGGGATTGGAAGCAAGCACCTTAAACACCAAGGTAAATCTCCAATATTTAACCAAAAAGAATGCTACAAAGGCTGTTCGCATTAGATTTTTTTAAGGTGAACAGATACATGGTTAATTTGACCAAAATTAATCCAATGCAAATACGGCTTAAGAGTGAACAAAGCTCACGCACAAAACAATATAAACAAATTAAATATTTACACGGAAGAAACGTATAATGTAATATGCTACTATACAAACGAGATATAAGCAGTAATATATTTGGCTTAGGCCTACCAAGAATATTAAAATGACAGGATCAGATATGCACCCAAATTGACAACCAATGTTGTTAAAATTTATTGCACACGCACAATTATAGGCCCACAATAGACGTTTAATTTATTGTGGTATTTCAAAATGTAAACATTATTACTGTATTTAGGTGAAAATACACTAATAATGTTTACAAGATACAATCTATTACCGCCAATAAAAACGGAAAAAATAAAAAGTTCGTAAAGAAAAATTACATTATTACTGTATTTTCAACTAAAGTACAGTAATAATGTAACATTATGTACTTTGTGTGAATAAAAATAATTTAGACCTACTGACTAGGCTACAATTTAACAGCAATAATACTACATGTATGTTGGTAAATTTTAGGGGAGGGGGATACTGCATGTTTAGTCCCCCGCCACACTCTTTAATTCCGCCCCTGTAATGTCACCGGTAACCTACTAAACAAAATGTAATTCGTAGTAGGCCTACGGTAATCTAGCTGAAATAACATGTTACCATACCTTTGGATATCGTCGTCTACATGTGATAATGTCATAATAACTTATAACTAGAGTGCTGTCACTTTTACCGATAATTAGACTAGACCAATCGAACAATTTAGACCATGTACATGATTGTAACTCTTGTTAATTATAGATGGTTTATAGAAGCTTTCTTATTACATATAGCTTAATCTTACATCTGAAAACAATTCTACTCTCTAAGGCTCATAAAAAGAGTTTATAAAGCGTCATTTCATCCCGTAATTGGTGAATTACTTCAACATTCAAGATTAACTTTAGTTGTGCACTGTAGCAACATTGTTAAAATGTTTTTCGTGAAGAACAAATGTAAAATAGAAAGTACAAAGCAGGTATATTCATTTCATTTCATTTCTTTAGGCACGAGTGCCAAGGATATGCCAATAAGTGAACTTAATCACTGTCCTACGTGGCATATCCATTTAATAACAGGGGACTTAATGGACCAGTACACCGAGGTAACCCCCTACTCTTCTCGAATGAAATACTGGGCTCGTTAAAGTGCACACGAGCCAAATGCGTACACTGGGCCTACGGTTTAAAGTCCTTATCCGAGAAGACTTGTTCCACCACCGGAACCATTGGCAACCATTCACACATTTCATTGTTTTTGAAAGATATAAAATAACATGTCAATGGTCTTCTAAGCAATTGATACAATTCGTTTATTACCTATAATTATGTTCCTAACAGAAATATTGAAATGAATCGTTATTGTGTACGTAGTAAAGAAGACGACATCCATTTTCTATTCATGTGCAAGCTTAATGAAGTTCATTCCATTATAATTTTTTTTCTAATTATCCAACATGTGACAAATTTAATATGGAATTCAAGTCATTGTAAACAAGGCTTGTGTTTTTCTTCACGATACATTTGAAAAAAACCCCCGGAAAACACTTCTTATTCTATTATCTTCAAACGCTTCGTTCATTTAATTAATGCTGGAGGCCTCCTGACGTTAAGTGTTGAATCGATGCAATATACTCTACTGTATTATTATATTCAATGTGTGCAAGCCCCTTACATAATTTTATTAAAAAAAAACACGTCTATATCACATGACCTTAGTAAACATTTAAATAATACTTATGAAGCATTTTTTATAAAAGAGAAAAGTTCTAACAAACTATTCCTTCATTCATTCCTTCAAAACGGCTTCAATCCAAAGAAAAACCTTCAAAGCCCGGTTGAGAAGATCAAGACAAACCAGTCATATTACTTTCAATACATTTCAAAGAGACATGTTTATCTACTCTATATGGTTGGTATACAAGACATCTATAAAAAAAAAAAAAAAAAAAAAAAAAACATCTGAAAATGTCTATATTTTTGCTGAATTGCAGAATTAAATTCATAAAACTATTCAAACATAATTGTTATAGGCCTACTAATCAACCGCTCTTATAACTGGAGGAACAAAACATCATTTTATACATATATCACACTAACTCATACTGATTGACAAGTATTCAAACCAAAAAGAAAACTGTCCATACTGTAATAACTCCATAATGAAAGGATTAAGGTTCGTAAACTTGTCCTGAAATTTCATTGGTTAGAATATTTACAAAACTATGCTATACAAACCTTCATTGTTTTCGTTATTTCTTTATAGATATTTTTGGCTGACAATGCTAATGAAGATTGTGAAGACAGCAAAGTGGATTGAATATAGGCCTATGTCATATACCTGAACGATTCAGCAATAAGAAGAATTATGTTAAGTGTAAATTATTATAATTTTGAAAATATATATGAAAATAATATAAACAAGATAGGCCAACCTTAAAGCTTTGTTCAATTAGTTAGGCCATTGTTGATGACGGTAACACCAGAGAATATTGATGATGACGAATTGATATCTTCCTGTATCACACAGTGAATTATTCTAGTGTTAATGATAAATTGACTGGTGACAACTGAGTATTCTTTGCATAAGGACTATTGTTGACTACGTGATTAAAGCAGCGAATATGGATGATACAAATGAACACAGCCTAACAAAATGAAAGACAATGATTATCTACTGGTGACGAATATTTAAACTTATTATTTTACAATCCGGGTACAGAAAATTTGTATTATTTTTAATAATTCTATTATTATTATACCAAATACTAATTTCTATTAGGCTCATTTGGTTCTGCGTACTTTAATGGGATCAACAGGTTAATGATGATGATGATGATCATGATGATCATGATCACGATGATGAGGATAATGAAGATAATGATGATAATGATGACAATCGTGTGCTCAAGGCGCAGTGTATAAATGTCCTTTTTTCAGATAGGCCTGTATCATTTATTTTGCTTTCTTTTCATCTAATCTTTTCTTTTCCATTCATTTCATATTTGCTTTTCTTTCTTTTCATCTTTTTCTTTTTGTTTTTCCATTTTTTCTGTTTCATTTTTTAAATTTTTTAAATTTTTTATCTTTAATTGCATTTTTATTTTCCTTATTTTCATTTTATCTTTCCTATTTTTTTTTTTCATGTTGATGTAAAAATTGTTTTGGGGATCATAGCAACGATAGGGTTCCTTATCAATGGTTTTGAAGAAGTGCCCCTGGCAGGATCTGAACCCGCAACTTGTCGCTGACAAGGCGAGTGTTATACTATTGGACCACATATGGTATGTCTTATATGTTTTGGTTTACACCTTTAGGCAGAGCTCGAAGGAAACTTAATTCTTTGCACAAAGGAGTAGTCCTTTCTGTTTACTACAGTGATTAAAGCTTAAAGTTAAACTGTGCAATTTTTGTAATATGTTTCATATCTTTCACTTGATTGTACCATACCTCGTCCCAGTTAATTACGGTACTCTACTTCCCATTTCATTTGCGTGATTGGGGTTGTACCAATTTCAGAAATAAAGTGATTACAGTAAACACCAACTTTGTTTACCTTTTTAAACAGTGAATTGCTTATATTTTTATCTTGTGGTACATCAATTAACCCTTTTGAAATGATTATCTTCCATTCATTTGGAATAGCATTTATGAGGGAAATATATTCGATGAGCCCATTTGTTTTTTTGGAAAGTGTAGGAATTATTTCACATGGCGTTAATATTCTATTATCAATCATAATGTCATTTATTAATTTATACCCAGCTTCTACCCAAGCTTTAAAATACAATGATTTTCCGCCTAAAGTTTTACGGAAGATCACTAAAACCAGGTTTTCCCCACCCCTAAACAAGAGACGGGGCGGCGCAAACATTTTGAATATACTGACGGCATTGTAGTAATTGAGTATAGTAATATTTTTCTGATGCTGTGAAATTCGGTTATAAGAGGTTATTTTAATGATCGTCAAATTCTAAAATCCCAAAAGTTCCTCAAATCATTTCAGGAGAAATACATTTCGCAACACCGACAATTTTGTAATCTGGAAACAAGGGATTTTCGAATCTCAGACTTAACACAGGTAGTGGGAAAAGCTTAGCTGTATTTCACAAAACCGAGGAAAATAAAAAACATTAATTGTTATTTGGAGAGAGAAAAAAGTGAATATAAAACCTCTAATTGATGAGAATAAAAGGAAATTGATGTAATAGTTAGAATACCTCCTACATTGTTGAAAACTTGAAGATGTAAACTTCGACAGTTTTCTGTCTGACTTCATTAATTCGTTTGTTCATTATTTCGTTCGTTCGGTTCTTTTTATTTATTCATTTATTCATGAATATTTATAAAGCGCTCTTATATATACTTTTAAAAATTCCAGAATTTTGCAAGATAATTTTTTACAAATAATTTCACTTCCTAATTATCATAATTATAAATTAAACATCAAGTGCTAACTTTTTATTAAACTGCAGTTTTTCATTCATCGTGTATGAAGGAAACATTAAATTTTAAATTATGAAAAAACTTCTTAAAAAATGTAGGCCCCTAACTGAAAACATGATATTGCAGTGCTCTTAAATACAGAGTAGAGGGATACGTAAGTTCACTTTCCTCTGAGACACAGATTGAAATTAATTCAACTTTTATTGATTTTCTGACTGTTCATTAATAAAATTACTAAATCCATATGAATTAGGGAAATTATTTGCAGCTTGGTGAGAAAATTATTCTTGTTGAAATTACGGAAGCTACAGCAATGTAAATACTGTGTAAACTTGCAATGCCGCCACCTGGAGTTTGTTACGGGCGGCAACATTTTGACAATTAAGCAGGGACTAGATAGGCAACGTTTTTTTGATGTACTTTCTTCCACAAGTTTGATAGACCATTGATTAGTGTTAGGTGGGTTTACGGACTGATCAAAACAGTGATTTTATTGTAAAAGCTTCTTGTAAGGTAAGCTCAGCACTACCTATCGGTATTTTAATATTTTTTTTAGCGAGATAAGTACTGTAAAGGATGTTCTATGGTATGGTACTGATTGGTTGTGCAATGACATTGTCCTGCAAAATTTTACTTCAGCAGAGGGTCCCAAGTTGGAAGAAGTCATGGCCTTTTTTACGAATCGGTAGACATCGTGAAGTGATGACAAACATTGCGAATCAGTGTGTATTAAAATAGGCCTATGCATTACAGTGCAGTAGTACTAGTAATACTCTGGACTAGCATTGTTTTAGTTACCATATGAGAGTTTCCTGTGTTAAAAACATGATTTACTATACTATACTTCTTTATAAAACATAACTTGTACTTTATAATAAGAGAAATCTGTATATTATCGGTACCTGGAACAGTAACAACACGAAAGTGCTATGCTGTTGCACAACAGTGCATAGGCCCATTTTAATACACTACTTAGATAGGCTTTTCTTTTTCTATCTTGATTTCAGAGGTCAAAAACATTTTTAATTTTTTTCAATCATATAGTGGTGTAGACTAGTCTTTTAAGAGCATTTTGCTGGAAATTTTTTTTGGATACGACGCCCCGTTATGGAGTTATGATTTTTGAAATAACATGATGTCAGAAAATCAGCCCAAATGCTTATCTTATTCCTGTTGGTTACGCACCGCTGATTCGCAATGTTTGTCATCACTTCAAGATATCTACCGATTCGTAAAAAAGGCCATTAATAAGCATTTTATTTTATTTTGCTGCACATTGCGATACCCACCAGCTCTGACTTCCGTGAGACAATTGATAAATAAAGCAAAATTATGAATTTCAAAATAAAATAAAATCAAATCGTTCCATTTATATTGCGTCATTCCAACAATCGTTGCTTGTGGCGCAGTGGACTAGATGTTGCACTTTTAAATAATTTTGCAGGAGATTGGTTATTTTTCAGGAGATTCTTGCTTGTTTGCAGGAGGGCGGGAGGCGTCCTGATTTCCGGGAGACTTGGGACCCCTGCTTCAGGGACAGAATTGCGACCCATTAAGGGCACACAGAGTGCGATAGCGGTGCATGACAGCTACAAACATATTCTGTCACGCAGTGTAGTCCATTCACACAGCTGTGACACAAGCAGTTTTTGTTGATTGTTCTGCTGTCTACATGCTCAGCAAAGGATATATCGGAGTCAGACTGATTGGTTAGAATATTTTTTGTTGTGTGCGACAGTTTTTGGAAATAGACATGTCATTCAGTCGCGTAGTATTTAATGATATATAAAGTGTTTTCTTGCCAGTTATCAAATAATATATTTCCTATTCCTTTATACAGTATGCCCTTAAATTGTCAATAAATAATCAGTTTAAGGATTTTTTTTAGTAAAGGTTTTATTAATCATCACTTTACAACTGATTTTCAAGCTGTCTTGGATTTTGTACTCGCTCTCTATGATACCAGGACTGTCAGTTACTTTTTACTCAGAAAATTCTTGATTAGGGGACTTTTTAATATATTTACATGAAAAGGGGTGTTTTTGTCTGTATTGCAAAACAAGTTTTGACCCTGTCTTAAAAATATGGTCACACACAAAGGTACCCAAGAACTTCAATTATAGGGTGCTGTCCAACACACTCTTATTCTGTCCTACAAACCATGTTTGTATTAAAAATCATGGTTTATATTTTTATCAAAAGACTAACACTGGTTTGTTAAAGACAAACCATGGTTTGTAAAAGACAAACCATGGTTTGTAAAAGACAAACAATGGTTGGTGAAAGACAAACAATGGTTTGAAAAGACAAACCATGATTTGTAAAATAAAAACCATGGTTTGTAAAAGAAAACCATGGTTTGTAAAAGACAATTAAAACCATGGTTTGTAAAAGACAAACCATTGTTTGTAAAAGACAAACCATGGTTTGTAAAAGACAAACCATGGTTTGTAAAAGACAAACCATGGTTTGTAAAAGACAAACCATGGTTTGTAAAAGACAAACAATAGTTTGTAAAAGACAAACCATGATTTGTAAAAGACAAACCATGGTTTATGAAAGACAAACCATGGTTTGTATAACAGAATATGTAGTGTGTCGGATGGCACCCCATACCTATCACCAAACAAAAGACAATAAATGAGTTTCAAGTTACAGAGTATCATTTCTATTAGACACCCAGGATTGATTTTTTAAAAGCATACCTTGAATTTATTACTAAGCTGATTGTAAGCAAGTCCTACTTGCACAACAAACCACCATTATTCCTGAATATTTTATTATACCTGAATTGTATCACCACTTTAGGCCTGACAAAGAGCTTGTGTACTAACTGTATCCATGGCACACAAGCGCTAGCCATGTTATTTGCAGTTTCTTCTGTGTTGACATGCTTTCAAAGTGAAATAGCAACCAAGATCAGAATAACTCTGCGTTGAATTCCAGAACGTAAACTAAGGAATTATTTTGTTGTTGAATAAGGCAACTGTACCATTTGTCTCCGCATAAATAAAATTTTTATTAATTACTTTTCAGTAAGTCATTAATTAACAATGAGTTTAAATTAGCACACATACTTATCATTGTTTACTCTGTACCATTTTCATTTGCCAGTCCATATCAGTTTTTGCAGTCCAACTAGGTTCCACTCATTCATTACTCTTTTGAGATCTGCCACAAGCCTAGACACAAAGTCAGTACAGTACTACGATTATAGTCTACATGTTTGTCAACATCTGTGTTACTATTATTTAGGCTAGATTTGTCTCAAAGTTGTTAAAGAAATTGAGTTTAATAAGTAGGTTGCCTGACTTACTCAAGAGCTTGACCATTGTCTGATGGTGGTCACATTACAATAAGGACATGTTAGAATAACAGCAATTTAATAAGTTGGTCATGTGCAATTGGTGTTTGATCTTTTTTGACTGATAGTACAGTTTTTATATGATCAACATTAAATGTGGTAATATGCTCAAAAATTACTTAAGGATCAAAAACCACAATCTAAATTAGTGGAACATACTTGCAGAAATTATAAAAGTAACCCTTGTCAATCAGTGTGACTGTACCAAGGCAAAAGAAAAGATACCAAAAAGTTATTATTAGTGATATTAATAGTCAAAATATAGTGCTTCTGTAACTTTACATGGGCGTAGGCTGGAGAAACGCCCCCGCCCCCACCTGCACACCCTCCTCCATTCTCCATTAAAGCAAATTAGTTTCACTCAGTGGGACTACTGAAAATGACCATTAAGTTTTCATTGCAATAGGGATTTAGTTTCGCGTTCTGGGATTTTGTGCATGCCCCCTGGCAGAAACATGCCTATACCCATGCTTATAGATCAATTAAATTAAAATTTCTGCTATTTCACAACTATCTCATACATTACTATGACTTCACAACTCACCAATAAGATTAGCTTGTCATGAAGTGTGCTTAAGTGAGAGATGGGACACCTTTATTCAATATCAATTTACGCGAGTATGTAATTGATTTTCAGTGAATTCAATTAAGAACCTACTACACACATTCCTCTGTAAGTTGTATTGTTATGTTTGGCATGGTTTCCTTAATATTGTCAGCTCTTACAGTAAATTGAATTATACATCCCAAGAGAGTTATTATTGTTGTATGTTGCCTATTTGTGGGAAGCTGTTTGACTAACTGCAGTTAAATGTGTGAAAATTTGCAGTTTGTGGAAGACACCAGAAATTTGCATTTACTTATAAATGCATGCTACATGATAGTGTATCGTATTTGGTGAAAAGTTATTTTAAAGGTTTGTGCTTTGCTTGTTAAAAATACTACGGATGATGTAAGTACAACTACAACTTAATGATTTTATTTTTATATTAACTAAATTAATGTAAGTAAACAGTTCCAAGTGTAAACATATTCTGGTATAATGATATGAAATAGATTTATGTAATAAACTTTCTTTAACCAGGGTGTAACCATTAAGTGATTGGCACTGCTTTCCAGGGAAGCCCTGGTATATTATTATACTAAATATAACAAAAATATACAGAAAAAAATTTTACAAATGTGAAATTCAAAATTAACTAAAAAGTAAATTAAAAACAATAATAAATGTTTAATGACTTCCTATGTTAAGCATAAGAAATACATAATATTCTGAATTTGGATTGATGATATATAGGATATTTAGCTTTCTTCAATGATGAAAATGAGAAAAAAAAATTATTTGATTTGATTTGATTTATTTGATATCGTAAACAAATGGAACAAAGTACAAAACCAAGAGGAACACAGTCAAAAGTTGTGATATCTGGGATAACCCTCTGAATTCTGACAAAGGACTTATTTCCAGAGGGGTCCCAAAATGGTGGCTGCATTAATACTGTTCATATACAATTTTATGTTACAAATTTGACTGGTGCCTAATTCAAGAATTTTTGTATTAATAAGTCCCCTGTCCACACTACCAAAATTCTTTGACAAACAACTGTTGTATTCCCATATATAGTTATGATGTCATGTTATGACCATATTTGGGCATGTCATGTTTTTGTAAAATAAAATTTGATAGCCTGGAAAATATGTTTTGTTTATGAGCCGTATTCCATTGGAACAGAGTTATCTTTCTAAATGAACTATTCAATGTGCAATTTAAACCATTCATACTCCACCCCTCTCCCATCTCCCACCTCCTACCACACTTGACCATGGATTTCATGCAACTAATTTAAATTATAAATAAAAAAAAAAATGAATGGATTTACAGGTACTTTTTTATTTCTGTAAGGTATTAGCTTTCAGCTAAAATTATGAGAAGAATTTCCATTGGAAAGTATTGGACAATTATATTATACCATAGGTATATTCTTCTTTTTCTGGCAGCAAGTTTATAGACGTCTGTAAATAATGCTAAGTTTGGTAATTTTTAAGAATAATCTCTTTTTTTACAGTATGGACCTGGCATTTATACAGTGTTTTTAGCTGTAGCATTTTACTAAAAAAAGTGAAGGTCATAATGATCATAAAGACTGTATTGTAACAGATTTTATACCTTCATTATTATAAATACAGTAAAACCCCTAATTAAGTGTCCCCTTAGTAAGGGTGTCCCCTAAATAGGTGATGGCCATACTGTAGTGTTAAGAGATCTCTTACTTCACAGCTGAAAAAAGTGTCCCCTTAAGTCACAAAGGAGGGTTCTGCTGTAGCAGTCTTCATCTGAAAACAACAATTATATTGGATCTATGAACCATAGTTTGGGTACAATGTAGTAAAAGCTTCTAGCCTTATTTACTACATTTCGGGCCTAAAATAAGTTAACAATCAAAAAGTACTGGAAGTCTGACATAAGATGCCATACAGTAGTTGAAAATATAATTCTTTGCAAACTGAATTTTTATCAACATTATTGGCAATTTTAAATTGAGGGTGACATAAAACTCTATTGTCAAACAGTACTGTCTTAAACCATAAAATACATGTGTTCACCCATGCAGCACCTGAAGAAGTTCCAGTAACTTGAACTAACCAAAGCTTTTGTTTCATATAAAAAATTTTGGAGCATAGTATACTTTTCATGTATTGATCTGATTATGGTACTGTAATTATTGTTTATTTACATTGTTGAATTTGTACTAAGATGTACCTAAGCTTCTAATTCTTGGCAATTAAGTTAATATGATACTTTGTGCGATGAAATCAATGTTTGGATAGGTCCGGTATTGATTTCTTTTATTCATTTGCCTTCACTTTTCAATGATCAGTAACAAAGCTATTGTGTGATTTGATCTATCTTTGATACCAGTGGGTTCATCAGTGTAACATCATCAATGTGTAACAAAACATTCTTTCTTATGATGTAATCCCAACTAGGTAGTAGACCAGCATCCTGTTCCTACCCAAACAATTAAAAACCACCACTGTATTTAAGGCGATACTTTCATTATACCTTAATTGAATTGCGATGATGATTTTGCCTATTAGCGAAAATGCTGCAGTGAAATAATATGAATGTCAGAAAAGAAAAAAATGTTGTCACTCCTACTGCCACGATGGAATCTCAGTTTTTGGAAACCTTTTCTACTCACAATTGAATAAAACCATTATCAACCCAATAAACTGTTAACATTGCAACGTCGCAGTTTTACTGGAGTTCCAAGTTGGAAGTAATCTCTTCCGGGAGATCTGGTTAAATTGTCTTTCTTAACATATTTAATTTCATTTTTCTGCGCATGGTGATATTCATCGGCAGTGACTTCAGTGAGATAATTGATAGTAAAGTAATAAAAGCAGAAGATTCTTTCTTGCTTGGGGGAGTGCATCCCGATTTCCAAGAGACTCTTGCGACTTCCGCGAGATTTGGGACCCCTGCTTTACAATCATTTGATAACATCTTAAACGAGTACTTGAAGTGGCCTTTTTTACACAATTTTTTATTTGTCAATACAATTTTCTTATTTTATTTTATTTTTTTTGGCAGAATAATTTTGCTACATGGAAAAAACCCAATTTTCATCCTTCCTCTGACATGATATTTCAAAAAGTTTGCTAAACAGGGTATAAACAAAGTCCCACTCCCTCATAAGTGGGTAAAAATACCAAGTTACAGTATATAGCCAACTTGTTCCTCCTTTGTTCTGACCCCTCCTTTTTCATTTTTGTAATATTTTATAAATTTAGCGGAAATAAAGATATTATTATTATTATTATTAACGAATAAAGGCCGAAATCTTGAAGCATGCATGCAGAGTTTGTCTCATGCTAATGTCAAACTTTGTGAATATATTTAAAATAAGAAAACTATTAACAAAACTGATGATTGCATTTCTATGAATGTTTGCATCTAGAAGCAGATGTTTGTAAAGTATATGATATTTTCTTAAGGAATAATCAGCTTCTGAATTCTGTATTTTCACCCCCATCTCATTCTTTATTTTATTCTAATTTCCTAATTTCATTGGCTTATTCCTTCATACAGGTGTGGGAGGTGGAAGGATGAGTGATTGAGTCACTCACAATGGTATTTGTAGCGTAGTTGTAACATTAAGTTGACAAATGGAGTCTCCAGGTAAAGGTGAGTATATCACCGGCGATTGTCATTATATATATTGCCATAGCTTCAACCAAAGAAAATCCCTCATAGAATAATCCATACCATATTGCTTTAGTTGGCAGGAATATACAAAATTGCATTATTTTTAGAATGTAGTTTGTGGGTTAAGTGTTTCACTAAATTACTGTATTACTATGCAGATAAACTTTATTCATTATGCTGCCTAATGATCAGTAACACTCAACTCATTTCCTGTGTCTGGAGATTGTAAATCAATGGCAACAATAACTACAAATTGCTCCATAATGCTAACACTTAACTGTTTTGTGATATTTTACGATTAGTTTACGTCCTTCCCATATAAGATTATATATTGGTTTTTGTTTACTATACCACAGATTTTATTTATTTTATGATTAATATTTTTATCTTATTTGTTTGTTTCAAAATAAATCGTGGTAAGTGCTGCCATATTGCTCCAATTAAGACATACTGTACTGTAAATAATCACTCCAATGTTGTACATACATCTTCAAAATCACGACTTGGCAAGTCATGGTCACGGCTTGCCTGAGCATGGCAATGCTTTTTACGACTTGTGAAGATAGTGGTCTTTCTGATCATGGGTTTACAGGAATATGGCATTTTTGGGGTCCAAGCCAATTGTATCCTAATTAATATCCACATCATCAAACTATCATTGACTTTGTGTGTCGTTGATCACTACAACTGGATTAAAAATATACTTTACAAACAACTTTTATTTTTCTAATACATTGATAATTGTAACTGTAGGAAAATCAGAAGATGGCCCGACGAGAGAAGAGTTTGCTGAGCAAATTGTTCAGGTAATTTTTAACTGCTATAGTATTTTTTCAGAAGTATTATAACCATACTGTTAAATTTGGTGAAGAGTTTGTAATATCAGTCTGAAATTTAAGTATAGTATTTGTATATTTTATGTGACATTTACAAAAAGTAAAACATAAATAATTTGTTAAGTTTGGCATTTTTCTGAATTCATGTAATTGATATATGCTTATTTAATCATCATCAACTTCACATTGGCAAACTAGACATACACTAACAATTAAAAAAAAAAAAGAAATATATATGAAATAAATAAAAACGTTGTATGTAGGATGATAAGAGGTTATCAATCAAACTCCTCTGGTAACCAGAAATCCTGCATTGTACATATTACTAGAGCGTATACAAAACCAAGAATATACAATGTAAATTTTTTATAACAGAAACAACCACCACCATAAATAAACTATAAAATATTGAAATAGGTGACACTCAATTCAATTCACAAAATTTACATAAAAACTATATATTAAAATTATTATTAAAATTTGTGGAATAGCCTTAATTCGAGATCATCAGTCAAAACTGTTTTTAAAAGAAAAGATGGAATTATTACTTATTATGAAAACAGAAAATAACATTCTTACCTTCAAGTCAGCAGAAAAATGTATGGTGATTATGACCTAGTTGTTTACAAATTGTGCAAAATTTCCTTCTTTACAAAAATGATTTATTTGGACTAACACACTTGCATCACTTACGAGATGACTGATCATCAAGGGTAATCAACTGTTACTTATAAAATGTATACAAATTCATTTCTTATCCGCAAAATAATCTTCCACCAAACTGTACAATATGGACAATAATGAAAAAGTATTCTTAGAATCTAATGTGCAAGAAATTATGTCTTCTACCTGACCCATTTTTTTTAATTGCGAAAATTCTTGTGAAGTTGAAATTGACGATCTCCTTATACTTAACGTGGCTTTCGCAAGACTAGTTATTTATTTTTTGTTGGATGACACTTAAGGAATTCATCCTTTCTATGCATGTTTGATTGATCTTCATTTAGTATTCAAGGGCGGATCCAGTAGGGCACAGGGGCACATCCCCACCCCCTCGTTTTCGCCATTAAATTTTAAAATTTAAATGGATATTTTGAAATTAGCACTACTCACTTACCTATTCTAAATATGTTGTGCTCCCCGGTTTGAAAAATTCTGGATCTGTCCTGGTATTCTTGTTCATAATGTGATATTCAATTTCAGTGTGTTGTGTACAGAAGTGTAGCAAAAGGTTCTGATACTTAATTCATGATTCATTAAAGTGATTATTTTTTTCATAAAATAGCTGATAGATTGTGTGGAACACTTCGTGTCCACAAAATAGAATTATTCAAACTCTTCCAATATTATTCTGATTATGTACTATAGCTGAACATTGATAATGTATGAAAATCAATCAATCAATCAGTGTATGCTGTCTTGCCATTGAAAGCATGCATGAATATCAAACCATATGCGTGGGATAGTTTAGACATGCTGCCAAGGAATGATGAAATAATTGAAGGCTATAAAATGTTGGAAATTATGTAGTATCCAGAATTTACATCCAAGAATAGTAAGAACAACTCCTGCTTTCAAGTATCATATTCATAATTTCATGATCATTTATAATCAAAGTATCATATTCATAATTTCATGATCATTAATAATCAAAGTATCATATTCATAATTTCATGATCATTAATAATCAAAGTATCATATTCATAATTTCATGATCATTAATAATCATAACAGAGTTCTTGTTGTCCAAGAAACAGTGAAATCTCACCTTTATGAACAACAATTTTATAAATTCTTGATCTCTCCATTCACACCCATCTTGTCGATATTCATAACAAAATGGAAGGCCCTCCAGTATTATTTTGATTACATAACTAATACTACAGTATATCAGTGTTGATAACAAGACATGATATAGAGGTCGACACTGACAGAGGCAGTGACGATGAATCATTTTATGCACATCAGTTGCGGTAAATAGCCTTTGTGGACTTCTAGATGTGCACTAGTCTTGCCCACGTTAGCATGCAATTTTGATTCAAGCAATGGCATCTCTCGCAGTATTTCAAGTAATTTTGTAACAGTATTCACAAACAGTGATATCGCACACCCCCAGACATGATAATTTGTTAACATTTAACAAGCAAATATCTTGCGTAATATTTTATTTGTGATTAGATAGACATAATTCCTTTTATATAATTTTATGCATTAAGAAAAAAAAAAAAATAAACTCATTGTTATTTTTTCTCAGGCTCCTCGATGCTAAGGTTGTGCCTTAAAGGAGCCTCTGCGTCATATATTAAATGAAAAAAAAAAAAATACTAAAAAAAAATTATTTATTGAGGTATAACAAAATAGACAAATACAAAGCAGTATCACAAAAGTAAAATATCTTGCATGGTTATCTTTTGGATTAATTTACAGTATGAATGTTTATCAGTATTGCTTATTTTCAAAGCTCATCTTTGCCTTTTTTTAGTACGTCAGTACTTGAAAATCACCAATATATATGTCCGACAATATTAAGTATGGATTTGACTCGACCTCGATTTTGATGATTGTACAATTTACAATACTCCTTCTGGTCTAGAGCTGTATATATATAGTTTGCATAGTAGTAGAAAAAAAATTTTTAATATATTTCTCAATGATGATAATGGTCCAGTATGTGACAAGGAGTAGTAATAAAATATTAATCATCATGTGGTGAAATGTATCTCAATTTGAGGTACCTTGCACAAATGTGAGGTCTTGCCAGAGAATGAGAAATATCCTTGGTGGGATTATACTGAGAGAATTACTGTACAAGTGTTCTTCATGTAGATTAGTGTGCAGGTGGTTTATTAATTCTTTATTGTTATTTATACTTTGAAGTACACACAACAACTAAACTTTAAACCATCAAAGCTCTAGAAATACTTCACCTAGGAAATTTATTAAAAGACAAAATAAACTCTGAAATGTTTGAATATACTAAAACCTAGCAACACATTTGTAATATAGGCATAAATTAATGTAGAAATATGATAGTGTGTGTGTAAAAGTGTTATTCACTTAATTAAAATTTTAATTTATTTAACTTAGGTTATTGTAATGGAAAAAATATATTGTAGATGACATACTGACAGTAAATGATTAATGTTTAAAAATAAATTCTTATATACAGGTATGTAACTATTGTTTGGAACTAAAGCCCATGTGTTTTCATGATTATAACCATCAATACAGTTTAAAAAAATTTACAAAAGGCAGTGAATACAAATCAGAATGTCTAACTAATTAGTAAAATGTTGAAAAAATTCACATTGGCATAATGTTGTATTTCTAATTTCCATATGATATTTTGTGCTTTGATTGTACCTTTGTGATCAGTCCTTAATTTTTATATTGAAATTTGCATATTGTAATTTTAACTTTTTTGGTAATTATCAACCAATAAATAGATCTTGTGGGAAATAGGTGAGATTTTCAAATTGGTTTTTTTGTATTAATTTAGTCTTAATTAGCTCATAATGCAAAAATGCATGTACTTTACATAAACAGAAGATGAGATTATGCATTCAGAAATAAATCCTAAAGCACTTCCAAAAACAAAAACCAGCAACAAAGCGAAAGAACAAGTTTCACTGCTTTTTTTTTCAACACCTTTGAAGTTTCAAAATTGGGAATGCATCGAAATTAATTCAATATAGTAAATAGGGCATCTGATAAAGTAGTGTTGGACCTGATTATTGCATCTTATGAAAAAATAATATGTATATGATAAAGGAAAAAAAAACAGATGTATATGATGAGGAAAAAAGATTTTGATCAGATGAATAATAATAATAATAATAATAATAATAGGTAATTAATTTAAATGAGAAGCAATAAAAGAAACGGTTTGGGGCAGCTTGAACGGTTTGGTTTCTCAACCTCGAGGTCAGGGTTTCAAAATTGCTTGTGTCCCTGAGCAAGGCTTTATCTACGTTGCTTCTCTTCAACCAGGAGTATAAATGGGTACCTGGTGGGGTTGCCTGCTCCTGCGCTGATTACCAGCAGCAACACATAAAGCATGTAGACCAAATGACCAGTTAAAAGAACTGTGCTTTACAACCTCAAGGAAGAGGCGCATTATAAATGCCCACACGAGTACCAGTACCAATAATATTAAACCTCAGTATTACATTGTTGGGGGCCTGTATGAGCATGACAAAAATAATTATGACCTAAAATTCATAATCCTAACATGAAAAAGAAAATATTAAAAAAAAAAAAAAAAAAAATACCCAATTCAAACAAAACAGATAATCCCCCACCTCGTTTCAATACCCTTATATGCGTCACTATCATGCATACTGTGTAATATCCATACAGGACACTAAAGTATTTATAATGGATCTGTACTAATTGCAATGACTTTTAGAAAGATATTAATTCACTAATGTGAAGATAACAGTAATTTTGTTAGCAATATCTCAAGAAGTTTTTGTAACATTTATAGTTACTGTATGTAATGTAGCAGGAAAAGACACGGTGCTTAAATTTCCAGTATTAAATTTTCTGTTCAAATGCACCATGTGCAGGATTTTCCTCATTGTATGGCTTTTTATTGCGTCCATGAATTTCTAGTTGAAAGATGATTGGATGGCAATAAAAACCAACCATGCATAAATTGTAAGCAGCTGTGATACACTTTGCAATGCGATAAGCCTAAAGATTATTAAAATAAAATATAATTAATGAAATATTCTCGCGTATAAGGTGATCCATGTATAAGACAATTATCCGAGTTTGAGATGATTTTTGGACAACTTTTGTATAAGACGACCACCCACTTTTACCGTCGCAATTCCTACTTTTTACTGCTGTTTATGGTTTTGGCATCTAGCTGGCTAAAAACAGAGCCAAATGTGTGGATAACCTTTCATCATCTTATTTCCCCGCATTGAAAAAGCATTGAAATCCCCGCATTGAAAAAGCGGTTTTAGCTTCATTTCAGTAGTAAATTTGCATGTTATGGATGATCCGCACAAAAGACGAACACAATTTAAGAATAAAAAATTTGTATGTGTTGCGCGTATAAGACAGCTTCCTGTCTTCATCTATTTGTACTTAAATCATTTGTATGTTGAGTAGAAAAGAAACGTGTAAACATTCAAATTTGTTACAAATTTGGGATTTTGATTGTAAAGCATGGTTTGTATTATGATAACATAATTCTTATTATGCAAGTTTACAATTGATGATTTCATATAGGAATTATATAAAACAAATCAATAGAGAGTTTGGAAGCAGCGCGTAATTGAATCAGAGCTTTGAGGTAGAATAACAGTTGAATGATTGCCTCATTAAAGCTTACGCATTGATTGAAATCTTCTAATTTCCCGACATCTGCTCTGTTTCGTTGTCCGACATCAAATGCTAGAGCGCTGCGGAAATAATTGTTTTGAACTGTTTATCAATATTGAAAGGATCCTATGAAATAACATGTTCTTAGATCTGTAGGCTGCCAGAGTATTCAAGAAACATTTGTTTTTAGAGGTGAATAAAACAATTGGTTCATACAATGTATTTTATGTTAGAAATGAATATGATGAGGCATACTAGTTTAATACATATAGTTTTATGTTGGTGTGTACTTCATTTCTTGAAGTATGTTTTATTCTTTTGTAAAAGAGTTTTATGTTAAAAAATGTAATATATTATTCATTTACACAAAAATACAATAGTAATAATTTAAGTTGCAAGGTTTTTTTTTCTTAATTTTAAAAATTCAAATTCTCAATAATGAAGAAAGCGCCACCATCATTTTTAATGTTCTTACAAATTTTTAGCTAACATATCTGGTACAGGAGATGAAAGATGGATTTGTGAGTGCGATGCAAGAGTTGTCCGTCATTCAAAGTGAGGACCTAGCCCTTCATGATCAAGTTACAAAGCACAAAGAAGACGTGAACAACCAACTAACAGACCTCACTAATGCTGTTAAGGAAATCAAGGTGTGGTAAAAAAAAATCATAATTTGTTGAATTGCCCAAGCGCAGTGACCCCGTGTGAAAATTCAGGGTCGTCAGTCATCAATTTGTGTAAGTTCTTAAATTCTAAGATATATTTACCAAATGACTACAGCTCACTGCTTCTGGCAGTCATCGGCCGATGTGATTCTATGGAGAATTTAATGCCAAGACGTGTGCGCAGCGGATTGTTTTTAATGACTATCCGTTCAGACTGCCAGCATAAGGCATCAAATCGTCTATGGTGCACAGAGAGCGGAGTTAGATTCGTAGTTCGATGATCGTATGATCGTTGTACAACGATGCAGTGTGTGCCCTGCTTTCCACTATGCATTTTGATTAGTAAAATGGTAACAATATGCCTAATATTTATGATTAAAGTATACAATTGTTTCATTAAAGCAAACCTCATAAATGTATATTAATAATTTTTTTGAAAAAAAAAAAAAGCAGGCCCTTGATTTTAAGATCTTCGCTAGGTTGGGCTTGGGCAACAGAAAGTATTTTGCATAATTTTGCTTCTAGTATGAAGATACTCCTTGCCAATGTACTGTATACACTTCTTATTTTCCGTTACCCCATTTTTAAAAAACCAAGTAATAAATGGTGATAATATGAAAAACAGGGATTTTGCATTGTTTATCAGGAATATAGAAGCTACATCTATAATTACTATACTAGAATTAATGATAAATAATTCCAATGATATCCCTAATTATTTTTCAGACTGAAATGAGAGAGGCATTGTCCAAAGTTAAACAGAATACTGCCGCTACTCAACATCTTAGTGAGCAAGTAGAACATTTACAGTACGAACGAACATTACTGATTAAAAACTCGGAGGTCGTACGGTATGTACTTCTCCTATGACTTGATTGCCAAACAAAATGTCTTTCTGCAACAACATTTTGTTCTCCTTTTTCTATGACAAGACACAGAGAAATGCCACCAAGAGACTCACATCACATACCCTATAGTGGTCCTTCCCAGTACTCATTGAAATCTATCTATGCGTTCATTCGTGAAGTCCATTGGCTACGAGTCCAGCAAAGAATTAAATTCAAAATACTACTTATAGTCTGGAAACCTTTTGGGCGTATGCCCATCGTACATATCTAAATTCATCAACAAACTTACAAATTTGCGATCAACTCGATTTTCCTCCGCAACACATCTTGTCAGACCAATACCTCGTAAGCGTATTGGCGATGATTCTTTCCCATCTGCAGCGGCTCAACTATGGAATATCCTGCCTCCTTCCATTAAAATCTTTCACTCTGCCAGGCAATTTAAGGCAAACCTATCTGTGCAACTGAGTTTTTTGTGTGTTGGGTATTTTTTGCACTTATTTCATTTTAATTATTTATTTATTTATTTTTTTTATCTTCTATTATGTTTGACTTACTTTGGACTTTGATTCATAAAAAGCATACTATGTTGGTTTTGGTTGGGATGGATTGTACTTGAGGGAAATATTGATCACAGTGGAGGGTTTAGCAGCGCTTTGTAACCGCAAGGAAGCGCTATAGAAGTACCATGTAATAAGTAACTCTGCTCCAATTATAATATTTACATGCAGCATTAATGGTATGATTCATGCAGTTACATTTACTCTGAGATACATCGGACTACGTCTTGCTCGATTTGTTGCCTTTAGTTTCAGGGACCCTATAGGATCATATCCTTATAGTACATACACTTTGTTGGGGCTACCACAAAACTACAATAGCTTTACAAATACCCTACCATCTACCACTGATCCCAATAATATAATACAATAAAGAGGTTAGTGTTCGCACCTCAAGCAAAGCTGTACATGTGGAACCTATTTACAAAAAAGAAATACACAGAGCACTAAAAGTAAGAATATAAGCGTTGTCTACTTTTATAGGTCATTGATGGTATATCAGTCAAAAGAATTAAAATATAATTTAGCAACACCGCAAATAAATAATGAATGTTAAATCTACAGCTTCAGTAATATCCTTTTAAAAAGCTCTTCTTGGTTGTAATAATGCAGAATTCTCTTGTGGGAATAAGTTATCTTGACCACATGTTAAAGTATACCATTAGAAAAAAATATTCCATTAGTTCCAATTCCTTGACTGGTATAAGCTCACAACATTGAGCCAAATTTGAGGGTGGGCATATACCTAAGGAATCCCCAATTAATAAAAAAAAATCATTTTCAACTTTATAGAGATGGCCAATTAAAGGCACATCACACCCTCTCCATGGTGGCAAATTAGTTCCACTAAATAGGTTAAAATACTAAAAATGAGTTTCCAATGGAATAGAGATTTAATTCTGCATTGTAAATTTTCGCACCCTTCCCACACACCCCCCCTCCCCAGGCTGAAACCAGCCTACGACCCTGGTGGGCTTACACTTAAGAAACTACAGTAGTCTCTGTGTTGAGCTAAACTTTGGAAATAAAATTCAATACTTTGCACTGCATAGTAAATAATGATAATAATAATAATAATAAAATATATTTAGTGCACCAATTCCAAATATTATCGAAGGCGCAGCTACCTGTCAAAGTTTGTTAAAAACAGTTTTTAAATTAACTTTAAAAGATAGTTGTGAAGATGAATTTAATGTAAAGGGGAGTTAATTCCAATGTATAATTGACGTTTGATTGAAAATTTGAATGAGAAAATAGATCTTAATATAATAGTAAACTAACTACTAATTGTTTATACTCTCATTTTCACATCAACATGCGTGTCACAGTTTCCCCCCATACCGGTTTGTAAAACACTTCTCAATGTAAGCTTATTTTCTGTTTGTTATGTAGAAGGCTCAATGTGAGTTGAAATCTCATGCCATTAAATACTGTACTATTCTTAGTGTATATAGCTTATGTGGATGTAATGCTTGATTGAAATGTCAACTACCTCTCCAATCTAAGACAATTTTGTAGATAATGTCAAGTAGACTTAGTATCATATTACAGTAATTATCAATATATATTTAAGATGTATTCCATATATAAAACAAAATAATTCTGATTAATATAATAAATAATCTTTTACTTACTTTATTTTTTAATTAAATACTGTACAGTATATGATTTATATATTTCCAATTTCATATAACTTTCTATACTATCACTATATTATATTTTTTAATCGAAGAAACAGTGGTTGATGAGACATCTTGAAGATACACTCCCCCAACAAATTGTGGTTGTTCTCCCCGACAGGGACCCTGGCCCCCCCGGCCCCACCCCTATTTCAGATGTCACCAAATTGAATGTGTGTTTCTTTGGTGTGCTATCATTGGAATCTAGATCTTCCGCATATGAGGCTTGCCATCCCAAAACCAGCGTCAATAACCAAAAAAAATATATTCTTATTCTTCACATTGTAGCCTTTAAAATGATGGGTCATTTACTGGAATCGATTTACTGTTGCCAAAGTTATGAGTAAAAGTATTATGACTTCT